TTGAAACTTATCTAGGGGAACACGTAGTGGGAGTTTCAGGAAGTCTGTGACCTGTGTCGACTTTCACCTATGAAAGTCAGCTAGGAGGGACTTGTGGCCAGGAATAGGGATATAAGGATTGCTCTGGCTTCTGTAGTGTGTGAGTTCCACACCCCCATCCTTCAGAAAGTGTATTAAAGGTTTCACTGCTTCACTCATCCTGAGTCTAACTTACTGTGCCTATTTGGGCACCAGAGGTTATTTTCAACATAAAAATACCACTCTCTCCCTCCTGCCTGTTCCCTCTTCCTCCCCCTCTTGCCCAAGACAAAGTAATCAAATCAATATTACCCCTGTTTCTGAAAAGGACATGACAATGCCCTGTTGATGCCCACTCATCAATACTGTCACTCCTCAGACTAAAATTCCCCTTGCCACCATTCCCTTACATATGTCTACTCCTGATAGAATGGAAGCCCCTTGAGAGCAAGGACTATACATAGTCCTTGGCACATAGTAGGCATTTAACAAATGAAGAGTCATTCATTTAGTAGGTCAGTAGGTGGTTAATAAGCTAACCATGTCAAGAAAAGCTAAGGAAAACAAAAAGTTTTTAAAAGCTATATTAGGGAAAAGAGAAGGAACAAAGAAGGATTGGACCCTTCTTAGGACAGATGAGACAGTGATTAAAAATGACAAAGAGAAGGTAGAACACATCAATTCTTGTTTCGATTCTGTTTTCTTTGACAGGAAGAATGATCTTTGTACTAGAAAAAAAGACAAAAAATTGCTAATAAGGAATTAATACCGATGATAATCTAATTGCCCTTGATAAGTTCAATCACCAGGACAGGATAAATTACATCCTGGAGTACTGAAAAACTAAAGAACTAATTGCTAAGCCACTGAAAGATCATGTAGAAACTTGCAGCCAGGTAATCAACCAAAACTAGACATTTCCTCCAATCCCCACTAACTTAAAAAACTCACCTCCCAAAACAAAAGAGGAATTATGTTCTATTGGTAGAACAATTATATCTGTCTTCACAGGTCAAAAAACCAAGAAGCCTAACTAGATGATAGCCTTATGAATTAACAAGGGAGAATGCTAATATCTAACAAGCTGCATCCTCTCTCCCCACCAACCTCTATGCCTCAGCAGGGCTTACTATCTGTTTAGGCTCTGGATCCCACTCAACAATTTCCCTGATGGTGCTAAAGTCTCTGTCAGCACAGTAGCTTCTGCCCTCAATCCATCATTCAGGGGCCAAAAGTAGCAGACCTCAACTCTGTCTAGCTATTTGCAGAGGAGCAAAAGTGTTTTCTCTGCCTAAAACACTCATTAGCTGTAACCCTATGCAAGTCACTTATCCTCATTTTACTCATGTATAAAATGGGGATAACAATAATAGAACCTACCTCCTAAGGTTGTGAGAATGAGATAATATTTATAAAGTGCTTTGCAAATCTTAAAGTGGTACATAAAAGCTATTATGGAACAGAAAGCAAATGTGTGAAAAAGGAAGCTAAGGACAAAAAAGATGCAAAATACTTTGCAAACTTGCAAGTACTGTATAAATGTCAGATTATTGTCATCATTACTATTTATCCTTTAAAAGCTGGAGGATCCAAGAAGGGTTAAATGTATATGATCCTCACCAACAAGGAAGATGTGGTTGCTAATTTGAAAATGATGCTATGGAAAACAATTTCATACTCTACATTATAGGCACAATCCTACTAGAACCAATTTTTATTCCAATCTAAGTATTTCTGCTTAGAAGATCAAAAACTGACACAGCCATCCAATGCCTGAAAATCTTTCTCAATCAAGCAATTCTGAAGTTACAGTATAGCATTTCTAGACAACAGAAAAAAAATCACAATGAGATAAAACAGTTAACAGTGCTTCAGTAAATTTCTGTTAACATTTTGCTCCCTCAAATAGAACAAGTTTCAACTTTCAGCACATCTTTGGAAAACCATTCAATCCTTCTCTGACTGCTCCTTTCAAGGATTCACCTTTCCAGCTGGTCAAAGATGAACTCAAGAGAGATTTCCATTAACTGAAATGATCAAAAGGACCCTAATATGATGTAATCACTTCAGGGTCTAGTACTTTCCAGAACTGGTTTCTCCCTGGATACCCCTCTATCTAAGCTTTCCTCCTTCCCATCTGACCACACCTCATGCTCTTTCACTGAGTCATCATTCATGTCCTGCTTGCTAACAAATGTGTATATCTAAAGGCTCTGTCCTGGGACCTTTTCCCTCTATACTCTTTACATTCTCTTACTTATCAGCTTCTATAAGTATATGAATTATATGAAATATAATTATGTGAAATTGACTACCAGATCTGTATGTCCAATTTCAGTCTTTCAACTTTCTTTCAGTTCCACATCACCTATAGGTAGACATGGACATGGAGAGACATAGGCTAAATGACAGTAGTTTATACAATTTAAATTTGGTGAATTGCTGGACTCCAAGAGTTATCATAGCTGGGTAGTAAGTGAATAAAGTTCCAGGGCCCAACATCAGGAAGACTCATCTTGGAGTTCAAATCTGGCCTCTGACACTTACCAGCTGTGATGCTGGTAAATAGCCTTATTTGCCTGTGTTTTCTCATCTGTAAACTAAGCTGGAGAAGGAAATGGCAAATCACTCCCATATCTTGGCCAAGGGGTCACAGAGTAGGGCACGACTGAAACAACTCCACAAACTAAAAAAGTAGTCATTAGCAGTTTGGTGTCTACTTGGGAAAAAAGTTTTCAACAAAGTATCCCAGTTTAACATTTTTATGATTTACGTAAAAGCATACTTATCAAATATGAAGAAGACAAAATTGGGAAGAAAAGCTAATGTCTAAGACAACAGGGATCCAAAAAGACCTTGACAAATTAGAATCTAATAAGATGAAAAATATTTGGGAAAAATGTAAAGTCTTACATTTAGGTTCCAAAACAAAATTTCACCATCAGAGAACAAGGCTAGCCAGCAATTTCGTCTCATATGAATCATAAGGTCTTGCAATCTTAGGCTACACTAAGGATGGTATCCAGAAGTAGGGAGATAATAACTAGACTTTCAGTCAAGTACTCTACTTTGATCAGTCACATTTGGAACAACATATTCAAGCTGGGATGCCACACAACAGGGAGAGGAAATAAGCATGAAGGGGCTAGATTGTCAGCACAATGTTCTGCACAGAGTGGAGCTCTTACTGATTACTAAATGGTTGTTCTTATAGGTGCATATATCTTATCTCCCCAACTAGAGTGTAAGCTCTTTAGTGGCAGGAACCAAATCTTGTACTTCTTTGTATTGCCAGGGTGCCAATGAGACAGTTGGAAACATTTATTGACTTAGGTAGAAGACAGTGATTAACAGGAGCAAAGGCAAAGTATCGGCATTTGCAACCTTTATCATGAAGCCCTTTGGCAGTCTACTTGCTTTTTTCCTATTTTTTTCTAAGTGGTTATTTTTTTTTTAATAAAGAGTAGATCATTCTATTCTCTAGTCTTGGGGCATGTCTGACATTACATGGAATTTTCAGATGCCCATTTATCAAGTCATCCAAATAATCATATTAACCCCTTGATCCTCAAGTTTCTTTCAACCACTGTAGGAAAGAAGCTACTAAGTGGTCTAGGCACAATATCAGCAGCTGACATTCCCCTCTAATAATCACCTTCCAATTACTCTGCATGTACCTCATATATATTTATTTACACTACACCTCCTCATTAGAATGCAAACTACTGAGGGCCAAGACTGTTTTGGCTTTTATTTTCACCCCGAATTCAGAGCTTAATATATTCTTGTCGAATGACCATGCTGTGTTGCTTTCACATTCACTATCTCATATAATACTTACAACAACCCTGTACTCTCATTTCACAGTTAAGGAAACAGACTCAAATTAAGAGGCTTGCTGCTAGTAACTATCAGGGCAGAATTCGAACTGAGGTCTTTCTGATCCCAAGTTTATATTACCTAGATTGGTGACCAATATGACATCTTTCCTACCCCATTTCCACTTTCTTAAAAAAATAGGAGGTGTGTGGTGGGGGACAATGACCCATTTATTCCTCTACTGCGCTCTCTCCAAACATATAGGCAAAATCAGTAGTGGTAAATTCCTCATAAGCTCCAGCAAATCAAACAACACATGAATCTCCCAGGTAGAAACCAAATATTGCAATTTGCCTTCACCTGCAGAGCTCTGGCTAGGGGCCAAAGGAAAAAAAAAAGGAAAACAATCAAAAGCAGAAGTAGGAAGGAGTCCCAAATATACGGGATTCTCTGGGATGTCTGCTCGCCACCACGACTACTAAACGCCAGATCCCCCACCCTCCGCACCCCGGGAGGGAGCACGGCGACCCAGAACACAACATCCGGGTCCAAAAGGCACTACCCACTCCCAGTTAACTAAGGCGGCAGGGAGGAGGAAAGCGGCGGCGGAATCTAGGCAGAGCCTCCAACCTAGCCCCGGTCCCCACCTTCACCCCTAACTCGCTCTGACCTCAGAGCAGTCACTTCCCTTCCCCCGCACCTCTCAGCCCCGTTTCCCATCACCCTCCCCTCGGTCAAAGCTAAGCGCGTGACCAGAATATTTCTGAGGAATTTCTGCATCGCTCCGGGGTAGCTGACGCCAGGCGAGGAACAAGATGGCGGACAGGCCCACTCTGCTCTACCTCCCCTACGCTTCACTTGCCCTCAATCCTCCCGCACACTTTGGCAGCCTTGGAGCCCGAGTTTCCTGCCCCATCCCAGTGGCCCCTGATCACTATGGAAACGGGCCAGGGCGCTCAAAACTAAGGCCGGGGGCTGCGGACCATTGGCCGAAGGAGCGCCTGAGCCGTAAACGTCTCCAAGTGCGTGGCTCGCGCTCGTCCTCTCCCTCCCCACTGCCCCACCCTCCTGCTGTTCCCGCCCCTCCCCCTCAGGGAATGCGTGTAGCGCACGTGGTCCACGGGGCCGCTGACCCAGCGCCAGGTCGCCCCTCCCACGTGATCTCCTTCGCCCTGGCCGTGTCCCTCCGCCCCTCCGGTCCGTGCCCCTCCCCACCGACTTCCCCTAAAGGGGCGGGAGAGCGGGCGGTTGGAGGAGGGGCTGTGGTCGCGCGCTCTGTCCGTTAGCGTCCAGCTTCCACTAGCCAGGAGAGGGAAAGAGGGAGGGTCCTGGGAGCTCGAGACGCCTTGGGGGGGGAAGGAGGAGGATCCGGTCCGGGCTGAAAAGTTGCACTTGAGCCGCTGCTGGAAGCTTTGTGCAGTCCACGCGGGGCTCGGGGGTTTGCTTTGGTCGTTTCTCCTTTCCGTTTTCACAGTGCCGGAGGAAAGGCGCGATGGAAGCCCCCTTACCCCCTCGGGAGTCTGCGGAATTCGTGGCGGTCCGTAGCCAAGATGTATTTGTTGAAAAAGCCGGAGTCGATCGAGTGGCCGAGATGCTGCTGGAGAAGGTCCCGGGCCGAGAGTTCGGCTTGGGGGGCTGGAAGTCCTTGCACGAGCTGAACCCTCAGGCGGCCGACGAAGACGCGGTCAACTGGGTGTTTGTGGTCGACACTCTCAATTTCTCCTTTTGGTCCGAACAGGAGGATCGCAAGTGTGCGGTGAAGTACAAGGGTAAAATGTACAGCGGGTACTGGGCCCTTTGCGCTGCAATCCACCGAGCCCTGGATGAAGGTTAGCCCCGGGCCTCATCGAGGCCGAGGAATTAAGTTATGAGGAGCTGATTGGTGCGGCTTGGGAGAAAAGTTAGGGGCGTGAGCAGAGGGAGACCCTACGTTAGGCTGAGCAAACTACGGCCCTGCAGGTGGGAAGAGGCTGCTATTGCTACCTTGCCCTAATTTTGACACTTCCCAAAAAACTGGTACTTAAAAGATCTATCAGTGAGTATTTATTAAGCACCTCCTATATGCTAGGCACTGCGCTAAGCCGAAGTGCAATAAAGGGCACTGTTACCTGAAGTTACATACAAAATGATAAAATCAATAAACATACTTTTAAAATAACAGAAATGTCATAAGTGATATTCTATTGTAAGGCCTGCTAAGGATAATAAAAGTGTAGAGCAGAGACCCACAATTGGGATTTTGCCAGTGATTTTTTTTTTTTTGCTTTTGGTGTGAGTTTTCTGTAAAATTTATTTGGTTTCACATAAATGTTTCTAATAGAGCATGAAAGTATACAATGTTTCTTTTGCTATTGAAGGTGGTACTTTGGCATTTTTATTGTGAGTAGCGAGTTCCAAGAGGCAGTGGTAGCTTAGTGGATAAAATGTTAGGCATGGAGTCAAGAAACCCGGAGTTCACACCCCAATTCAGATACCTATTGGCTGTGTAACTCTGGACAAGTCACTTAACCTCTAGGACTTCTGCTGGGTAGAGGGAGTTCGCTAAGCTCATGAAATCATAGGCACTTACGAGATTTGAGTAGTACAGTGTAATTGTTACAGAGGAGACATCAGAAAACCTCTAGTTCTGCCTCCTGTTTTTACAGAGGAGGAAACTGAGGCCCATAGGTGGGAAATGCTCAGGGTCACAATAGGTAATAAATAGCAGAGCTAGAATTTTAACCTAGGTCAACTGATTGTCAATCCAGTCAGTACTCTTCCACTACTACTCCACAACTCCAGATTAATCATTTTTTACACTTTTCTATCAAGCATCAGTATTTAATATAGCATAGAGCACAATAAAACACTAAAGCTGTTTTTGCTTTTGTAAAATCTTACTATGGGACAGCTAGGTGGCCCCCCCAAAAAAAAGAAAAAGAAACTGACACCCAGAGATTTGGTTAAGTGACTCAGCCAAGGTCACATAAGTAGAAAGTGGCAGAGTGGTAGAGGTCTGAGCTCCCAAGTTCACTGTGGTTCCCAAAGTACTCTTTGTCCCTGAGAAATGCATGGGAATTTTGATAATCCTTGTTTTGATTCAAAGTGCCTTCACTACAGCAAGACGACTAGATTTAATCAATAATTTTAGAAAAAGCACATTGTTATTGTTCAGATATAACTATAATTCATATTCCTTACAACTATGAGACATGTATGTTTTAATTTTAGAAAATATACTATATATTTGAAAGCAGTGATTTACTGTGTTTTGCAAGTTGAAGGCACTAAAGCTAAATTCATACCTCAAAACTTTCTGGACCTTAGAGTTCCACATTCAACAATAGTTCCACAAGGAGACAAAGAACTGATATGAAGTTGAATCATGACTCTTTTCTAATCATTTATATTTTTGACTAGCGGAAGAGAAAAATAAATACTTTTCAAATGCAACATACTAATTCCTCTCAGTAATAATTTCAATGCAACAGCTGCTAAAGCAAAGAAAATGTATTTAGGAGGAAATATAAAATTATGGGCATAGCCCTCCAAATGTGCAAAGACTGTTTAGTAAGATTTTTTTTCTCATGAGGCAGTTGGGGTTAAGTGACTTGCCCAGGGTCACACAACTAGTAAGTGTTATGTGTCTGAGGCCGAATTTGAACTCAGGTCCTCCTGACTCCAGGGCCAGTGCTCTATCCACTGCAGCCACCTAGCTGCCCCACATGTCACTTTCTTCATCTCTAAAATGAGAGGGTAATTTCTAGGTACCTTCTGAAGTCTTTTTCATCTCTGACTCTATGATTCAATAGACAATATTACATTTTGCACTGTTAAGTGAAAAACTTCTCTTAGCCTTCAGTACCACTTGTCTTATCAAGATTCCATACAAACTAAAAATCACATCAGCTGTTTTCAGAATAGGTACCCAGGAAATTTGGGCTCCCTCTGCATATGAATAATTTCTTGCTAGAATTTCTTTTCCATTGGGTTTATAATTTAAGACTGGAATTTAGGTTTGATTAGGATCTTAACAAAATACTGAAAATAGAACTTAACAGGGTTTTTTTTTGTCTTCATATTTATGTAAAGGTCTTAAGCTGTTCTTTGAATTATCTTTTTTTGTTTTTGCTTTTCTTCTCCTCCCCCCATCCCCTCAAGGAATACCCCTCACTAGGGCTTCATACTATGCCACAGTTACTCTTGATCAGCTTCAGCATATTTTGCGCTCTGACACAGATGTGCCTATGCCTTTGATAGAAGAGAGGCATCAGATTCTCAATGAAACTGGAAAAATTTTACTTGAGAAGTTTGGAGGGTCTTTTCTTAACTGTGTTCGCAAGAGTGACAAAAGTGCACAAAAACTGCTGTCCTTGGTAGTTGAAAGTTTCCCTTCTTATAGAGATGTGGCTGTATATCAGGTGAGTTGGGTTTTTTTGAGAAATTAAATGCCCCTCTAAAAATTATCCATACTATTACTTATTGTATTATGGAACACTTCTCAAATTTACAGTGAAAATTTAACTTTTAAAGGACAAAAATGCAGTTGTAAGCAGCTACATTGTGCAGTGGATAGAGTACTGGTCCTGGGTCAGGAATACCTGAATTCAAATCCTGCTTCATACATTTACTAACTGTGGACCTAGTCAAGTCACATAAACTCTCTCAGCCTTAGTTTTCTCATCTGTAAAATGGAGATAATAATACCACATATCCCTCATGGTTGTTGTGAGAATCAAATGAGTTAATAGAGGTGAAATATTTTGCAACCCTTAAAGCATTATGTGGTTGCTATTGTTGTAATAATAACCAAATATTTTATAATTAATTTTTAATTTTATGAAATACATGTAGTCCTTAACTACCAAAATACTGTCCTCAGCCCTTCTATTCTTTCTCTATAACTTGGTAATCTCATCATTCACTGTTTCTGTTATGACCTTATATGTATGAACTTCACTGTCATTTGGGAAGGGGCCCTAGAAGTCACAGAGTCTTAGCTCTTTCATGTTACAGATGAGGAATTGAGGTCTAAAGAGATTTAAGTGACTTACCCAAGGTCTCACAGATGGCAAGTGGCAGAGCCATGCTCTTTGAACCTGGGTTCTCCAGCACCAAAGTCAATGTTTTTTCCACTGTAATATGTGACTTCGATCTCAAGTTTTAGTCCAGCATTTCTAGTTTCCTACTGGATAGCTCCTCTTGGCAGTTCCACCATCAAACTCAGTATGTCTGAAATGGAAATCATTGCCTTCTGCCCCCAAATATTTTCTTCCTTCTGGTTTCCCTATTTCAGTTAGTAGCGTCATTTTCTTCCTAGGCTTAAAAACTATCATGTCAGTGGTCTCTGATACTTCCTTTTACCTTCTTCCCCAAACCCAATTAGTAACCATTTGACTTATGTCTCTACAGTGTCTGTTGTATTGATCTCTTCTTTTACATTCCCATTGTACCACTTGTGAAGTAACACACCCGGTTCAACTCCTGATGACCACTCATCAAGGCTACTGCAGTAGACCTCTAACTGTCCTCCATTTCTCCAGAGTATCCCTCTTTCTAGCCATCCGATATGTTAACTATCTTGAATTATTTCCCTAAATCACAACTGTTATCCCTCTGTGCTCAAAAACCTTCTGTGGTTCCTCATAGCTTGTAGAATCAGGTCCATACTCTTTAGCACAGCCTCCAAGTCCCCTGTCACCTGATTGCTGTCTTGTTTTTCAACTTTATCTTCCAAACCTTTACGCGTATATATTTATCTTATGCTTTCTGACAAGTCAAGCAATTCACCATGCCCTGCAATGATGGTATGCTGCCCTACTTTGGCTAATTCTGCTACCTTTATTTGGGATCCCTCTTTCCAGCCTGTCAAAATACTTCAAGGCTTAAGACTCAGATTCTACTCCTGTCATGGAAGTCTTACCCTTCTCATCAGCTGAAAGTAAACCCTTATTTTTCTATCTGGCCATAGCACTTTGTAGCTCATTTGTGACAACTCATTATGCCTCTCCTAGATCTTCATATCCTCCACCATACCTTGCCGCATAGAGGTCTGATGCTTACTTGTTGAAATATATTTTAAGTTAACTTAATTAAAAATTTTGTCTTAATTTAGATAGCATCTAAATGGAATAAGAATCTAAATTAAACTTAGTTAAAAATTTACCTCTACAAATGCCTGAAGCTTAGCATTTTCTTAATCTTGAAATAATAATCCAATTTCTATTCATGAGTAATTCTCTGTAAACAAAAAGCAGTAACAAATTTAGTACTAAAATAATTAAAAGTTCTATTCTGTTTCCTATAAATATTGACTGACTTTCTCATCCTTGCTTTAATTTGTATCTCTTGGTTCTTTATTGTTTACCCCTGCTTGCTTTCTCTAGTAACATATCGAATGGAATCTAAGATAAACTTGCTTAATACCAAACTCTACTCTATAACATATAGTATTATTGTAAGATTCAAATGTTTTTCTACATGGTGCATTTTGTTTCATACTTCAAAGTACTTTAACAGTATTTAGTTTTATGGAGAAAACAAGATGTTTGCTGGAGTTATGTTACTTATAAAATTGTTGGGTTTTTTGAAAAAATGTTTTATTATTTTTCCAATTACATGTAAAAACAATTTTTAACATTTAGTTTTTAAAATTTTGAATTCCAAATTCTATCCCTCCTCCTTTCCTCTCTCCCCTCCATGAGGCAGTAAGCAATTTGATAATAGGCTATAAATATGCAACCATACAAAACATATTTCCATACTAGTCATGTTGTGAAATAAGACAGAGACCAAAAAAAAAATCACCATGAAAAAAATAAAGTGAAAAAATAGTATGCTTCAATTTGCATTCAGACTCCATTAGTTCTTTCTCTGGTGGTGGATAGTATTTTTCATCAAGAGTCCTTTGGAATTGTCTTGGATCATTCTATTGCTGAGAATAGCTAAGTCATTCAGTTGATCATCACATAACATTGCTGTTACTATGTACAATGTTCTGGTTCTGCTCACTTCACTTTGCGTCAATTCATGTAAGTCTTTTCAGGTTGTTGTTGTTGTTTTTAATCATCCTGCTCGTCATTTTTTATAGCACAATAATATTCCATTACAGTTATATACCACAACTTGTTCAATTGTTTCCTGATTGATGGACATCCTCTCAATTTTTAGTTCTTTTCTACCACAAAGAGAGCTGCTCTTATAAAATTGTTTTACAGAATGCTCTATAATTCTGGTGCCATAGCACCAGAAAGGACCTCAGAGAAAATGTCTTAAATTTATCTAATTAATACATAATAAATACTTTAAATTCAGGCTCATAAGTTGGGCTAGATCTGATCTACAAATTGAGAGATAACTATATTTTCTCGTGTATTTATTGACATTGAATATTGTCTTCTGACTTGATCATTTCATTGCTTTTTCAAGGTCATTCCAAAGTTAGTGATGGGTTGGGTTTTTTGTTGGGTTTTTTTTTTGACTTATGAAGTAATAACAGCTCCCATTGGCTTGGTGGTGCCTATGAAATTATCAGTTATAGCCCTTGGTCCAAAATATATGCTGTTGTTAAAAGTATTACATATTTTACAAAGGGCTTTTCCTCTTACCCTTTCATGTATGCTGGGGCCATAGTGGTTGTGGCCTTGCAATTTCTTTTTTTTTAATATAAAAATTTTGTTAATGTTGATTTATCAACAATCATTTTCATATGCTTTTGAGTTGAAAATTTTTCTTCCCCTTCCTCCCTGCCACACTCCCCAAGACAGCGCACAATCTGATATACGCTTTACATTTACATACCCATTAAACATTTTCACATTAGTGAAGTTGTAAGTAAAAATTAAAACCAATAGGAGGAACCATCAGAAAGATGAAACAAAACTCAACAGAAGGTAAAAATAAGTGATAGCGATTGGACTTCCATAGTTCTTTCTTTGGATGTGGACAGCATTTTCCATCCCGATGGCCTTGCAATTTCTTGAGCTAAATTTTCAGAGACCTCAGGATGTAGTAAATTCAAGACATATTGAAGTTCTGTTTGCTTTTAGTTGTCATAGATTCTGTTGTCATGGAATCATGGATTCCTAGTATCATGGAAGAAAGGAAAGAAGAAAGCAATTAAGCTTTATAGAGGAATTACTCTGTTTTAGTTCAGTTCATCAAGCATTTAATGACATCTATGAAATAATGAAAATCTGCTGTATCCCCTCTTGCTTTATGTATTACATACATCCGTAAGAAATTGCATGTAAATGATTTTTTAAATAAATTAAATAATGTTTCAGATGTAAGCACACTGGATTTCCTTCAAGTGAGGTGCACTGTAAAGGAAACATTGCTATATTGAATCATTCTTCCTAAATCCCCTGATATTCCTCATTTCCTGTGTCTGTTCCATTCTAAGGTTTGCAACTTCAAAGTCATTCCTTAGCCATGCAGTCATCTGCCATGTTTTGTCAATTTACTTTCTTCAGTATCTCTCCTGTTCTCCTCTTATACCACAACAACTCCAATTTAGGATCTCCTTAACTGTCTTCTGTACTACTATAATAGCTTGCTAATTGGCTTCTCTCCTTCCATTTTCTCCTTTTTCTGACATCCTACACAGTTGTTAAGTTGAGATTCCTAAATTACAAATTTGAACATGTCATTCCCCTGCTCAAGGGGCTTCATGAGCTCCTTACATCCTTCAATACAAACTCCTATTTGACACTTGAAATTCTTTGAAGTGTGGCTCTCAACTTCCTTTCCAGGCTGATTAGACATTATTCCTCCACTTTCCCCATTGCACTCTATTTTAGCTCAGACTTGGCATACTTGTATTTAATATACCATATTCCATATCACATCTCTATTTAAGCTGTTAACCCATACCTGGAATTCTCCCCCTTGTCATCTCCATTTCTTGAAATCCTGGGTTCCTTTTAAGGATCAACAACCACCTTTTCCTCAGGAATGAATGGAAATCCTCTTTTCCGTTAAAGGGAACATTTTTTTTTCCCATGCAGGATTATACTTAGTCTTGCCAGTTAGGTTATCATTCATTAGAAGCCCTTGTATTTGGAATATCATATTCTAAGCTCTCCTTTCCTTTATATTTGGCAGCTCCTAAGACTTATGTAAACTTTTTGACTCATTGTTTATTTGAACTGTGGAGGGCTCCCCTGAACTTGTTTTCTTGAGTTGCCATATTTTCCAAAAACACTGGACTCAGGATATGCAGGAGGCCTAAAATGAGTCAAGGATCCCCGCCGCCCAGTGGACATAATTTGCTACTTTCAACCCTAATAGAACTCTCAGTGTGCCCTTGAAGCTGAGTCAGCCACAAATTTAGCTCTAGTCAGTCTGGCCCAGACTGATAATCAAATTGTGCAACTGGGATAAGCAGGGATAAGATACTTTCAGGTAAGCAAGACATTCT